TGACTCCTTTTCTTTTTCTGCAAAAAAATAAAATAATAATAATGTCATTTAAAACAAGTGATAATCCATGTGCCTCAAATTTAAAACTGTCAAAAAAAAGGCAAAATGGAAATAAGGCATAGGGAGTGTAAATAATGTAGCAGATTGTAAGACACTCCCTTATATTTTTTGAGCAATGTAAGCGTGTGATTATTATGAAGACATGTGCTTTGGGGAGCAGATATATTACCCAAGGGGCATTTCCTTCAAGCAATCCTTCTCTTTACAGCTAAGATGAATGCCAGAAGGAAACAAATAGAGTGGTAAAAATGGAAAAAGTATTGATAACGGATTAGAAGACCAGGATGATATAAATCCTCTAACTCAAAATGCATTTTTTTTGGAGACAACACTAGTAATTTTGAACAATAATTTATTCATAGAAAAAAGTTCATTTTCTAGTCTTTTTCTGGACTTTTTCACTAAGTAGTATACTTTAAGATCAAGTTAACCTTCTTTAACAATGTTAGCTCATAAAACTAATGCTAATTATTAGTTGGCTTCTCAACTTTGACACTCTCGACATTTTGGGCTAAATAATCCTTTGTTATGGGGGCTGCCCTGTGCATTATGGAATGTTTATCAGCATCTATTGCCTCTACCCACTAGATACCAGTAGCACTAGCACCGTCCATGCTCCCATAAAAATAAAAAACGTATGAGACATTGACTGTCTCCCCTGGAAGGCATTGAGAACCATGGATGTAAATAGTATTAACACATTGTCTCTTCCAAAACCTACATCAGGACACATGTCCAGCCTGTAATTTATGATACTGCAAACAGTCTGAGCTAATAGAGTGACTGATTGCAAAGATCAAATTAAGGATATGGCCTTTAAATTCAAGCTTAATAGCCTCAAGGTAGCCCCTATAAAATAAGAGAGAAAGCATATTAGGAGCAAAGGCATATAGAAGGTTAAAGGACTAAAAAAGAGAACTATGGGTGGGCACCTGGAACATGAAATTTACTGGAAACAAACTTAAAGCCTGTTAAGTTTGTAAAGCAACTGCATTGCCAAAGAAACCACATGACTGGTTTATAATCATGTCTGCTCAAGACTCAAAACAATTCTTTGGCCCCCAGCCTTCCAAGAGCAGGAAATTAGCTGAGAAGAAGGTACTAAAGTTACAGAGAGGCACATTCCTTAGCATCCACCTCACCTGGGACCACTGAGAACAATAGACAAAAGAGTAGAGTAGAATCAAGACCTAATTAAGGAAATTCCCACCCATTCCCACCCCCACCCCCACCCCCTTTTCAAGGTAAGGGCCTTCCTCTCATCTGTGCAGTGGCGTTTCAGATTTGCTATGAACCAAGGTCTATGGACTATTTCCAATCCTTCCTTTTGTCTAATTAAAGTATTCCAGCAGGTATAATTTGTCTTTAAAGTTCATGGGATTCTGGAAAAAAAGTAAAGACACAATTAGGTCTGATTCTAAAGCTATCATGAGTACAGAGTTCCTGTATTTTGAGTTGGATTCAGTGATTGAATGAGACCATCTCCTTAAAGAAGGGTTGAGTTTGTTCTGTGAGTGGGATGAAAGGAGCAAGAGGATATTCTGTGTGACTGGAAAGTCAGACTATAGCAGAAACACTTATTAAATATGGTTCTGGACATTTCCCAGCCTTTCTTACAGTTAGATTAGCATTATAGGGCTAGTTCTGGCCCATATAAGACTCGAAGCAGAAGTGGCACAAATCACCTGAAGGTGGTGGCACTTAGAGCACAGTGCCTCTGAGTCCCTTTTACCCTTTGGTGGCTTCCTTGGAAGCCATGTGTTGACATGGTGGAGGCACAAAAGGAAGTGAACCTGGATCTCTGATCACCGCTTGGGGAAGAATCTCTGCTGCCTTTCCCAATGCTTTGCTGTGTTAAAGCACTGAAATTACAGGGTGTGTTTGTTACTGCAGCATGGACTAGCCTATCTTTCCTAGCATAGTTCTCTAGCCAAGAGTCCCACCAGCATCACTACCAAAGACAGAGCTAAAAAATATGCCACTGCTATATGGCTTAGCTACAAACAGCTGACTGCTGGTGAGAATGCTGTTAGAAGTTTGTTTAGAAATCATTAGATAGTAAGTTGTAAAGACATGAAAGAGGAACAGACCCTGGAGTAACAATTTCAGGAGAACCCCACATCTGTTCCCCTCTCTGAAAAGTGGGACAGCGTGTATGCTCCCTTTTGATAACATATTCATTAGCAGCTGAAAAGTGCACTCTGTCTTTTGCATAGTATTTTAAACCCACAAGCTCCTTTCATGCTGTCACATTTTCTGCAATCACAAAGAGCCTCCTTTTCTCAGCCAGCAGCCTTAATCATACCACTCCTCTGTACCTTAACCAGCACCTTGGCTTCTTCGAACCGGACAGATATTTTCAGTTTTAGGTTGTAGCTAAATTTCCATGCCAAATTAACTTTACATTTCCAAACTTTCCAAATCCCTTGTCTGTACACTATCGGTTTCCAACATCCACACACACACAAAAAAAATTATGTGGTCTGCCCTGGCTGGTGTCGTTCAGCTGGTTCAGCACTGTCCCATGCAACAAGAGGTCCCTGGTTTCATTTCTGGTTGGGCCGCATGCCCAGGTTGCAGGCTCAATCCCCAGTAGGTGCTGTGCAAGAGGCAAGCATTCAATGTTGCTCACATCAATGATTCTCTCCCTTCCTCTCTCTAAAATTAATAATAAACAAAAAACACATTTTAAAATTATGTGGTCTAGTTTAGGTAATGAAAAAAACTGTAAAAAACAAACAAAACAAAAAACCCACACAAAACCCTGTAGCAATAATAAGCAGCAAAAAATGTTTAAGAATTTTAAAAAGTTTAATTTAGTTGCAAATATGTTTTCATATATATATATATATAAATATATATATATATATATATATATATATATATATTCACTCAAAAATTATTTTTATTATTTTCCTGAGTTGGTTTTTGCTCAGAAAAAAAAAAGTTGCACAGTTTTTTCAGGGGAGATATCCATGGCTATCCCACTGTGCTTAAAAGTTCAATGTGTTCACCACCTGTCTCCTAAAAATCTATTCTTTCTCCTATTATTTCTACTCTCTGAACCAGTGATCCATCTTCCATTTATCCATGTGCAAAGTTCAGAATTACCTTTCTACTCTTCTTCCTCCATCTGACAAGCCATAAGGCGTCAAATGCTATAGAGTCTAACTGCCATTCAGTGACCCTGTGATCAGATCCTTTTTCTCCAGTCTCAGCCAGCCCTTCAGAGCTGGTTCTTTTTGTTTGTTTTACCCTCATAAGAGCTGCTGAATGAATCTCCCTGCACACAGCCTTTCCTTACTCAATGCAGTCTTTATAACTCCACCAAATTAATAGGCTTTTTAATCAAGATACTAATTGTGTTATTCTCTTTCTTAAAACCTCTCAGATTTCCCCTATTTGGTACTATACCACACCTTCATTCAGGCTTGATCCCCTTGGGAGTGGAGGGGGGCATGCAGGAGGCAGCCAATCAATGATTCTCAGTCATCATTGATATTTTTATCTCTCCCTCTTCATTCCTCTCTGAAATCAATAAAAATATATATTTTAAAAAAGAAGAAGACATGAACTGGTAAAAGGAAGTAGCATATACTGTACTGAAGGATCTTTATGCTTCAACTCTCTCCATTTCTTTCCTCTCTACCTTCAACATAGGTATTTAAAAATTCTCCTCCATATGAATTTGAAGGCCTACCACCCCCACAATGCTTATGCTGACAGCATCACATAAAACACCATCTTAAGCAAGTTTTACTTCTGAGTCCTAGCTATTTGGACCCTGACTCTCAGTGCTCCTGTACTTCCCCAAGATTGATTACTCAGTTTCTCTGGCATTATAACAGTACATAGCATCAATGCAATTCAGCCCAATCAGGAGCTCCACAGAAAAAGTATCTTCATAAATATTTTATTAAATTGATCTGAGAAAAATTCCAGAGAGATTCAAATTCCCATCTTGGTTTCTGTATATATGCCAACTTTTGTAAGCATAGATATATATCATCCATGCCAATAGAGATAAAAAATGAACTCTCAAGGTGGATCATTCACTCTGTGGATTTCTCAAGACAAAGTCAAGCCTACCTTTGCCCATGAGTAGGTCAAATGATGAAACACTGATTTTGAGGAATTAACTATGTGTCTAAGCGTGAGTGTGATAATATCAGTGACCCTCTATTTAAATATGCTCTGAAATCTCCTATCCATAGGAACTGTTCCCTTTCACCATGAAAGTGATGAGCTCCATGGCTTTGAATATTTTGTACCTCCTCTCCCCTCCAGTGATATATCTATCAAATCATTTCTAAAATTCACTGAATAAAAAAATAAAACATGCATAGCTCTACTTATAAGCATACAATAACAAAATGCTTATGGTGCATATCTGAACATCTAATTCAAAGGAAGCCCAATAAAAGCGAGAGAATGAAAACTGTCTCTACTATTCTCATATCTCTTTCTTGAGTGAGCAATTAACTGTTCTCCTTTGCCCTGGATTTAAGTTCCCAACACAGTGGACTTTCAAATGATTAACTGGGAAAGTCCCTCCAAACTAGGACTGGTTCTTTATCTTATTCTTCATGGACATTGATAAAACCCCAGTTCTTTGCAAAATTCAAAATACGGGTACTTATTCTAGAATTCATCTTGCTTTTCATGTCCATAAATTATGGAGGCCAAATATGATCTATTCTTAAGAATTCAGACATTTACTTTCAATCTCAGCAGTTCTAAATCCCCTTTCCAAAAGTGTTTGAGTTTCTGGGCCTCAAGCTATAAGATAGTCAGGGAAGCTGTCCTAAGGAATCAACTGCTCTCTGGTGGTTCAACTGTATTAGATGAAAAGATCCTCTGCTTCCTTCTCTTATAGTCTCTGTCCCAACTCAATCACAAAAAGAAAGTAAAATAGTCATGAGGAAAGGAACTTTTCAAACCTCATATTCTTCTCTTAGCTGAACCATTTCATTTATATATCTTGGCAGCAGTCATTAGCAGTGAGAAACCTAAAGAGACAACAAAAGAGAAATGTATAAGTCTTTTTCAAGAGCTTCTGAAGTGTTGAAAAGTGTTTCTATTTAAAAGCTCCTGACAATGATTGGCAGGATCTGAGAAAACCTCACAAGGTGAGCCCCACCCTCTGAGAATTATTATCAGGAGAACAGTAATTGGTGAACATCTAATCCATTCTAACCACAATTGAGGGATTGCAATATAATTGCTAGTTGGTGGTCCCTCTCAAATGCCTCAAGAAGGTGAGTGAAGCATTGATCTGAACACCCCACAAGAACTATTGAACCTCAAAGAAGGGGAGAAATTTTAATATTCTGAACTAACTTAACAATAAAAACAAGGGGAGGGGGGCTTGCATTGATTGATTGAGTGATTACTAACTGGTCCATTAGGCCAGCTTCTTCCCAAGAATCTGACATTTAAAATAAAAATAAGACAGGCCTAATTTTAAGTTTTGCAATTAGGGATTTAATTTAGATGTGAGGGAGAACAAAGGTGTTTAAATCAACCCAATTTAGTGCAGACAGAAAAATAGACAGAAATGAAAATTACAGAGTCAGTTCATAATAGATATAATGAAGCCCATTTATATTTGATGTAATAAATGTTTAGAATACTAATGACCCATATGGCAAAATTTGAGGCTACTGAAAATTGAAATATTAAATACCAACTTTTCAACTTCCTTTGTTTTTCACAGGCATCTACTAAACGATAAATAGAAGTGACCATGAAGGAGTTAAACCCATTTTGTTGTGACTTAGTAATAGTGCTTTAGTAATAGGTATGATTGTCGTAATGAATTGCCTTGAAAGTACAGAAAGTTATTGGTCATCATCATTGGTGCAAGAAGAGGGAAGGCAAAAAAAAGAAGTGTGTGTGGCGGGGAGGGCTTTGACATCATCAAAACCAGAATACAAATGCATAAAACAGTTACTTTTACCATCATAATGTAGTAAAGAAGATGCCTTTTTAAGCTGTCTGGTTTGTTAACCAGGCAACAGTACATTTATCCAAACTAAAAAAGAAATTGCTTGGAAAAGAAAGAGACTGAAAGAAGATGAATAGCAGACAAAAGCTCAAACTGTGAGATTTCAAATGATATGTCATAAGATATAGTATCTAATCACATATATATAACAAGATCATTTCTTTGTGGAAAAGAAGAACCAAAGATATTTAAGCACCAGATTAATCTCTACTAATATTACAAATGTTTTACAAAGTAAGAACATGTAAGAAATTAAATAAAACTCAACTTTGAGACAAGATTTTTATTCAAACAAGAATCCACCAGGAGACATTGATGTTGTAGACCTTGCCATTTTGTTAACAAAAGGTCACAAGTCCTAGTAATTACCTGATTTTGAAAAACATTCAAGAACAGATTGGGAATCTTGGACCCAATGTCTAAGTGAGAACAATAAAAACAGTCTTCAGCTGCCTTTACATAACTTTTTTCTTCATTATCACACAGCAGATGATATTTGTTTTTCTGTTTCATTTTTTGCCTTCTAACCTGAGCAACAGGCCAGATTCTCCTCCTCTGTAACTCTGCAGGGATTCTTCAGTTTGTACCTTTTGTGTAATTCTGCTTGGCATTCTAAATATAACTCCTTTGCCTGGGTTTCAATATATTTCTTGACTTTCACCTGCAGATCTTCACCAAAATCCTTCACTTATTGCCATGGAATAAGGGGTAGTTTTATCAGCAACAGAAATATAGAAATATTATGTGTTCACAGCTATAATAACTAAATTTATATTTCATAAATTGGAAGGGAGATGGAATAATTTTTATGGAATGAATTTTATTGTTTGCAATTCAAGATTGTAATTTATTGCTACAATATAGTGACTGTTCCCTAGATTAAAGTAGTATAGTTATAATACTTAATTGACAACACTTCAAAAATAGTTTAACAAAGGTGAATTACAAGATTCTAATCTTCACAGTCTGCGATTTCTCAAAAACAAAGTTGGGTCACGGTATGGGCCAAATTACAGTAATGTAGACCTCTTGTCTAAGAAATACAATTCCTGAAATGAGGTCAAAATCATTTCATATTCCTCCAATCTTTAAAGATGTACTTTGAATATACCAGGTGTTTTTACATAATGTGTGAAGTGGTCATGCACTCTGGAAAGCCCAGACAACCTTGATAAAGCTTCAAGAGACAACCTCATACTCTTTGAACACTCGTAATATTTCCATCATTACTTTTTGTCAGTTCCCTTGGTGATTCATGCTAAGGGTAGAAAACCGGAAGAGAGATTTTCCTGCAGAGTCATAAAAATAGCCAAAATGTATTTTTCTTTTAGCCATACATTTCAGAATGCATAAACCCTTTGGCTGATATTTCTTGCCATTTGGTCCAACTATACTTCCTGAAGACACTGTATGAAAAGAACTAGTCTAATTTAAGAAGGAATCTGTCCCTGGTAAAACAATACATACAAAAAAGAAGTCATCCAATTTAGCCAACTTCCTTAGAGCCTTGATCTGAAAATTTGGTCTTAAAATAGAAAACTTAAATAAAAGTGACTATCCAAGTCATTTTGCTCTCAGTACATTTAGGATCATTTTATGGGAAAGACATTCAATTCATTTAAATTAATTTTAAGGTCAATGAAACTTACATACTCTAAGTAGATCATTTCTACATGCTCCTATTTTACCTTGCATAGCCTCAGGTATATATATATATTTTTTTTTTCCTTTGTCATCAAAATGTTCCTTTATTAATAATTTCTATTCCAGGGATAGGTTTATTTTCAGAGACATTTACCATAAAATTTCCAGAGATTTGTTAAAGTGTAAATGGCCTCCCCAAGGTGTTAAAAGGCAAGATATTCTGAAAATAGCTTAACTTAGAACACATGTGTTCCTTGAACATGAATAGAAAAGTACATATGAGTAACAATGTTCTTCCTTTCTTCTCTACTATGATTTAAATAATCTCCTATGTAGAGTATTTGAATTTTAGGAAAAGAATTAATGTTTATATTTTTCTTTTGAATTTAAAAATTTATATACACACAAAGGAAGTAAAATGCATACTTATAGACTTATTACTCTGTTCAGTTGTCCATAATTATTGAAATGAACACTCAGCAATGAAACCCACTCAACTGAAAATGGTCTCATGATCAGAATAAAAAAACTACAGCATAAAATATGCTGCAGATTATCACACATTATTAACACTTGTGTCTGATTCAACAGGACTATTATTTTACTAGAAATGGAGATAAAACTTAAAAAGAAAAGCATAAGAAAAGTTCTTAAGGGAGTAAATGTAATGTAAATTCAAATATTTTACATAGTATTATTTTCCAGGTATTTGTTATATATGGGGAAACAGAGTTCTGAATTCTAGATCAGTGACACTTCCAGTGTGTTTCCTAGACCAGCAATTGCAATATCTCCAGGAGCTTGTTAGAAATGCAAATTCTCAGGCTCTACCCAGAACTCTGAAATCTGAGACTGTTCAACAAGCCCTCCAGTTGTCTAATGTACACTCAAGTCTGAGAAACACTGTTCTAATCATCATTTGTAGGATGTAGTAAATTCAAATATAAATGGACCCAAAAACTATTTTGCATATTCAACAACAAACACAATATTTAAATTTGTATAGTGATTTGAAAATTACAAATCCCTTTCAAATGCATTAATCTCATTTGACCTCTCAATATAATTGTAAGATGGACTGGCAGGTACTCATATTTTTTATTTGCCAAGATTAAGTTGAATTTAATAGAGGTTAAGTAAATTCCTCATTTTACAAAGCTAGTTAATAAGTGAATTAGATTAGAACCCAGACCTTCAGACAATAGAATATATATGCTGCTACTAAATAGATAAATACTTTATCAGAATTAGTAGGGATTGTTTAACAACATCATTGGCATCCAAACAATGCTGTAAACTCTTTGAAATTTTTAAAATATGTTAAAATGTACAAAGAGTTTATACTGTATGCATTTTTTAAAATAGATTCAATGAAGTTCTATCTCTGATCAATATAAAATTAAATAAATTCTAAAACCAGCATATTCCTAGTTGATAAAGTTTTACTAATAAATACAGCAAGCATTCATGTTTACTCTTGCTGGGAGGAAAAAAAGAAAAACAATTAAAGGTCCCAGGTGGCCTCGGATAATTCTATTTTCATTAAAAACATAAAGAAAAAGCTTAAATTTATAGAAATTCAATCATTTTTTAAATATAAATTCTCAATTTTATAGTACAGAACAGTGGTCAACAAACTCATTAGTCAACAGAGCCAAATATCAACAGTACAAAGATTTAAATTTCTTTTGAGCCAAGTTTTTTAAACTTAAACAACTTCTAGCACCACTTCTTCAAAACTGAGTCACCCAGGCGGTAGTATTTTGTGGAAGAGCCACAGTCAAGGGGCCAAAGTGCCACATGTGGCTGAGGAACCACAGTTTGCCGACTATGGATATAGGAAATAGGAAATCTGCCTGAAACATTTGTTTCCTATCTGGAGGATAGATTGTAGATATTCTTCATATAGTGCTTTTCTAGAGGGAGAGTGAAGGAGCTTCTTCTTATCATCAACTGAGTGTCTCTATTCCAAAACTTTAATATGAATAGTTACATATTCTAAAATGATTTCTATTACTACCCATTCTCTTTTTATTGACTCTTCATAATTTTGAAAGGATAATTTTAATGATGTTAACAAAGTTAACATCAACCAAGATTGAACCATTCAAGACATAGGCTTAAATGGTGCCTGGTGAGCAAAACTAGTGAGAATGTCTGATATTTACAGAAAGATTAAAGCAAAATGCTAAGGTAAACATGTTTCAGGCTGCTCCAGAAGTTCTCAGATCCAAAAGCTTCTCTAGAAAAATATGTGTGAGATGATTCTTTGAATAACAAAGGAGAATGACTTTAAAATCTAGCCCAGGACTTCTCAAGCTGGAATTTGAAAATATATTCAGGAAAATTAGAAGGTCCATAAATATTTTTTGTATATTACTTGTCATTTTTATGGTAAACTTAAAATACTTTATCAGTTATAAAGAAATTTTATTGATCGCTCACAAATGAATAAATAAGCTATTCAAAAATTGAACATATTTCTTAAGTCATTCCTTCTCAAAATAAGGTGCAAGGATGCATATCCTTGAGTGAGTTATGAAAATGTCTTTTTCTTTTAAAAAGGGTCTGTTCATCATTCACATTTGAGAAATAATAATTGTAGCAATTTATGTACTGCCTTAAATCTGATCAAACTGACAAAGAAATACACAAATTCTTCACTTGGAGATTTGAGTAAAATATGAAAAACATATTTGAAGGCACATAGAAGAACATAGTGATAATGGCACAATCTAGTTATATTTCCATATAGTGTGATCAAGGGCTATTAGAATAACTGGTAATGTTTGAATATGTTCTTTATTTATATATTTAATGTAATGATATTGTATTATATTGTAGAAAAAGAAATGTTTTTCTCCATCCTCATGCTGGATCTGAAAATTAAACTGATAAAAAGACAGATTAACAGGAAAAAAGCATACACGTTTTATTTAATCTTTACATACTCATGGAGACCTCAGGAGCATGAAGACCTGAAGAAATTAAATGAGGAGACAGGAAGCTTTCATATCTTTTAGACTAAGAAATAATAAATGTGTGAAGAATTGTCAAAACTAAGGGTTTGGGGTTAGTGGTAGCCAATGGTAGGAAGATAAGGGTTAATTTTCTGTTTATATTTGTTTGTAGAGATTTATGAACCTCAAATTCCCTGACCCTGGTGATAAGAATGTTTTTCTTCCTCTTGGTACAGGAAGAATAGAAAATGAAGTATGTTTCGTTCATATTTTCCTTTCAAGGGAAAATGGGGTGGTGGGTCAAAGTGAACTTCCTGCTTCTACAGTTTTCTCAAACTCCTGCAGCTTAAGGTAATATGCCACAGGGCCATCGTGCGGTAATGTGCCCTGAACCTCAACAGTATCAATGCCAAGTTCCTGATTTATATAAATGTACTCCATTGTATAAGAAAACATCCTTTCTTTTTTAAAAAAATTTTTAAAGAAACACACACATTTAGATGTAAAGGGTACCTTATCTGTACTTACTCTCAAACGCTTGAAGAAGACGGTGGGAGAGGATGACCACTCAAGAAATCCAAATAACTGCTAATTAGTTGCACTACTGAAATTTTAAAATTACTTTAAAATAGAAAGTTAAAAGAAAACATATTACTCCAATTTGTTGAAAACTTAGAAGATGGTATAAAAATTCAGCTGGGAGGTTAAAGAATAATCTCAGGAGATAATGATGTTATTGTCAGGTTCCAGGGGAAACAAGGCACAAGAGTGCCTTTATCCTCGCTACCTAGGAGAATGGTCTTCTCCCCGGACATGTAAAATGGGGACTGATTTCAAAAATGAAAAATGCAAAGACATAGTAAGAAAACATCTTGTCATGTAAAATGTATTTAAACATCTAAATCTAAAAGAACAATTTCATGGCACACTGAAAAGCATCCTTTAAATTTTATGGTAAGAGCAACTTAGTCAATAATTGTAGATATAAAAGTCAATCTACCCTCGGTGAATTGGAGAGACCACCTTATCAGAGAGAGGTGCCCAGGTGCTACCCAGGAGACAAGCAGATGTTTTATTCATCTTAAAAAATGTAGACCTTAGAAAAAGAGAAAGTTAAGTTTGACATTATATGGACAAGACTCTGGTACTGATTTTCAAATATTTGAGTTATGAGAACAAGAAAGAGTTAATTATAGCAAGAATCACTAAGGTCAAAACAACCAAACTAACCTCAGTTGAATTTCTGAGGTGAGTACATATGCAGGCCAGGATGAATCTATATTGTACTGCACTACCAAAAGCCATTGGCAACATTTTACAAAAAATCATTTTGAACAGAATAGAAGGGGTATAGGCTAATCCCACATTCTGATACAGTTGATTGGAAGTGGGTTTAAAATCATTTACACCATTATTTCAAAGTGTGCTTATTTTGTTAACCAGTATTACCCCCAATAAATTTGATAAAAAGGAATAAAAAGTGGCTTAAATTGGAGAGCATTATCTTGTACTATAAAGAATTTCACCTGCTAAAACTGGTTTGGCTCAGTGGATAGCAAATATATATATATATATATATATATATATATATATATATATATATATATATTTTTTTTTTTTTTTTTTTTTTTTTTTTTTTGCAGCTTATAGACTGAAAGGTCCCAGGTTCAATTCTGGTCAAGGGCATGTACCTTGCTTGAAAGCACATTCCCAGTAGGGGGTGTGCAGGAGGCAGCTGATTGATATTTCTCTCTCATCGATGTTTCTAACTATCTCTCTTCCTTCCAATCTGTAAAAATTTAATAAAATATATTTCTTTTAAAAAAATAATTCCATCATGCTCAGAAAGTATATGCTTGAAAGGCAAATATGCCAAATTTATTGGACATGGCTTCAGAATAAAACTACAGAAGCAGAAATAAAGAACATTTTCACAAATTGGAATTATTGGTTGAATACAACAAAGCTATTGGTTCAATAAGTATGGTATGATTATAAAATACAGAAAATTTGAAAATTACTGGGAAAAAAAGTGTTTTAATGTCCAATAAACAGAGATTGACATTGCTAGTATTTTGGTGATTTTTTTTTAAATTTTGTGTAAATGTGTGCATTTGTGTCTTAAAGTGGCAACATAACACATATTAACTCATTATTTCATTTAGCAAAACATGTATAGCATGCTTTCTAGTGTCTGGCATTGTTCTAAACAGTCAGCTATAATTAAAATAGAATCTCTTGAATTTATGAAAGTTACAGTCTATATATAATTGAATATTTATTTTCTTTAAAATTACATTGAAGGGTCCTTGAAGTCATTAAATATTTCTTAAATGGTAAGAAGTGTGCAATATTTTAGTAATTGTATTATGATTACTTTAACCATTTCCCTATTCTTGAACATCTAATTTCAAATTTTATTACCATAAAAATGCTGAACAGTTTTATGTGTAAATCATTAATCAAATTTCTTATCATTTTATAATATGATCAAGAATATGTTATTAATATTCAACTCTACCATTCTATTTTCTAGCTGACTTCCACAAAGATTTTAACTACTTATACCAAACCTGTAATAAATTAATGCATAAAGCTTCCTTACTATGACTATTATATTAAAATTTGAGAGAAAACCAATTAAATTAGGCAATTTGATGGATTAAAATATATTTTATTGAGGTTTCAATTTACTAGACATTTTCATTCCCTTTTTTGGTGAACTATATCAAATCCTTTTTTTTTTAATTGCTAAGTAGAGTGTACATCTTGTTTAATTATCCGCAAACATTTATTAAAGGTACAGGGAATAATTCTTTGGCAAGATAAACTTTAATATGTGAAGATTTAAAAAGGAAATTTCAGTTTCTCTCCCTCTCTCTCTCTCTCTCTCTCTCTCTCTCTCTCTCTCTCTCTCACACACACACACACACACACACACACACACACACACCAGCAAAAGATAGAGAATTCCTGATTTAATTGTACTTCATCTTGATTTCAATATCTAAAGTTTTCAGATACTATGAATACATAATGACCAATACTGAAATATATGACTAAAAAAGAAATACTAAGAGAAAGTATGTGTTCAAATATGGAGGGTAATGCTATCACTGTTTGCTTATTTTTGTTTTTTGTGGGATTTTTTTTAACTAGAGAAAAATTGTGAAAAACCACCCTCATATTTCTGTGCACATTTTAAAAGTCATATTCACATACAAAGTCTTTTCAGGAAAAGGATGGCCAGAAACAGAATAGAGTTTGAAATATAGTGTTAACAAAATAGAAGTTAGGATTTTTATATTTACAAATGCAACTTGTCTTTGCAACTGTAAAAGGGAGATATAATGTGTACAAGAATAAAGTGATTTTGTGGTGCTGTAGGCTCCTGAGCTAGGATAGCCTCTGTACATAATAGAATCTTAACAAGTAAGTATTTATTGAGTGCATGTATAAGTGAGTGTGTGAAAAAAATGAATCAATCTCCAAATGAGCCAAGATCAATGAGTAGAAGTTCCAATAAACTTATGGTTTTTAGTCAATATAAGGATTATCTTTATAATCATTAAATTCTCCCAACAAAGGATAGGTTGCCTCCAGCAATATCAAGCACCCCAGGATAGAGAAGAAGAAATTGGAGTTAGAGAGAGACAAGTTAGCATCCAGCCTAATATTCAGTAAGGCCACTCTTACTTCTCTGACTTTTAAATTGTGTGAAAGAAAACAAATATATATTATTTAATAACCCAAAAAGGAATGAACGGAATGAAATGGGAGTAAAGAAAAAACAGAGAAAAATTCTGATTTTAAGGCTATGGGTGAAGAAAATAGGTTGAGAAAGGAATCATTGAAAAACAGAGTAGTATTTAAAAACACTTCAAATGAAAAACCTGAGTGTCATGAGTTCAGACTTTAAATGTCTTTTTAAGTAATTTAGATCAGTTTATACCACTTTTTGCATTTTAGAATAGAATCATACATTTGAATGTGATATTTGGCCAAATTTTTGAATGAATAGAAAATGTTAGTGAGATATATTTCATTCATATTTGAATTTGGAGCAGTTGTGTGTTATAAAGAATACTCAATAAATATGAAAGTGGTTCATTATTATTAGCACTCATCATTTAAGCATAGCTGGCTTGATAGAATGCGTTGTTCTAGAAAATGGGTATAACAGATAAAAAATCTTCCTCTAAACTTTTATATCTAATACATTAACTGCAATCACGTTTCCAGCCAGATTAATCACACAGATATGTAAACTATTTAAGACGTTTGAGTGGGAGAGCCAGAGGCACTCTTTCTAGGCTCAGTCTGCCAAAAACCATTGGAGGCATCTCCATTTCTAATATTAGACACTACAATTGGACCTCCGCCTCCCGTCTCCAGATAACTGCTCAGTAGGGCTGACTTTCTCTCGGTTTATGTGAAGATAGAAGGTAACAAAACTTGTGATATTCTGGGATTTTGCCAGAATTCAGTGGGTGGTAAAACCAAAGCCGAAGGCCAAGTGACAAATCCACTAGCTAGCTGCACAAAATATACCCTCACGTTTTTGTTGATGAACGTGTCATTTTCCCCCCCACCCTGAATGTGGGGGTAGGGAGGAAATAATCCACTTTTTGAAAGTGTCTCTCCAAGAAAAATAGTTCCAAGTTGAGGCTGGTATACTGTGAGGAGGGGAAAAAAACAACTAACATAAAAAAGCTTCGCTGTAGTTCATTAACTTTAATTGGTTTTTGTTGCCTCTCCTCAGGTTTTCTGGATCTTTCAGCCATCTCCTCCCCCAACTCCCTGCTTCCCCTTCTTCTACCTCTCGCCTCCTCCCCCTCCAATCTGGCTTTCCCTCCTTCCTGGCAGCATTTTTAGCTTTAATTTGATAGTAAAAAACTGAATCCAAAGTTACAAAATTCTTCAGATTTAACTTCTTTGAAGGAAAAATAAGTTTGGGAAAAGAACGGTTATCTCAGCCCATAACCAGCATTCCTTCAAAGGCACATGGCCCGCAGGTGGCAGGAGCCCTATGAAGGTAAAATGGGTAGTAGAAATGCATGAAATCATTCTCCTGATTAAAAATGTCTTTTGGAGGACTGGCTTAGGACAGGCATCGAAAATGGGTCCTGGAGACAAGCATAGAAGAAAACAAATTCCCCATTCTCATCGAACTTACAGTACACTGAAAAGTCAGACAAAAGCAAATGAATGAATGAATACATTAAAACTTATTTCTGAAAAATGACATGAAAACACAAAGCCTGCGGGAGGAATTACGGTGTTTGGGTGCCGCTTTAGAGAATTTGTCAACAAAGGCTTCTCTGCGGAAGTGACTCTTGAGTAGACACCTAAGAAAGTGAATGTAAGCCATGTGACTTTTTTGGGGGGTGGGGAGTATCTCAGAAAAGGGGACACCCCGCAGTAAGAAGGCCAATATACCTGGAGTGCAGTAAACAAAAAGGGTATGGGAAAAATGAGGTCAGAAATAAATAAGAGAAAAAATAATTAACTTAACCACTTTCATGTTCATCTCCTACCAAAGGAGAGTTATGCAAGTGCATGAGCATTCTACAGTAGTCACCAAACCTGTCAGGTTCTAATCAATTGCTGAAATAAAATTTCCTATGCACTTAATTCTGAAATGTAATGCTGTTTTATCATTGCCCCGAAGTTCCCACTCCCATCGTAAGCAAATTAAAGCCAGCCTAATTCAAAGGTGTGGGTTGAATTTGGATTGAGGGTAAGAAGGGGGATGGGACTGAGACCTAAACCTCATACAGCTTAATTCCTGTACCGATAATAATTGGCCCACCCAATTTAATTTAGTTAAGTGAAGTTGTATGAGTCACATATCTCCTCAACCTTTTATTTCTGTTCTATCCCATAGAATTAGAGTCAGGTTGATTAAGTATGTGTGAAAATTATTACATTATATATATAATATATATATATATATATATTAGGTCTAGTAATAATTAATGTCGTTTTCTAATATTTTTTTAAATCGGATTTATTTAAACAATACAACAAAATTTAATCAACAATATAGTTGCCGTTGTTTTCTACTACTTGTGCCCAATGCTCAGGAAGCATTTT